GCCATGCACCGACTGTCGAGACTGCGGCCGCTTGTCTCGCGCATGTCTTCATCGAACGCGCGCGCATCTCCCGTTTCGAACGACCCGTGGAATGCTAGGAATTCGTAGCCAGTACCATCTCTCGGTGTACAATCAAACTTTTTGTACAATCTACATTACCAAGCTATGATATCGTAGTCTACGTTTCTCAATATCGACCATTGATAATAGAAAATGAATAGAAAAATTATATCGTTTTATTAAATATTAAATAATTTTAAATAATAAAATTTAAACAATTTTTTGTTTAAATCCAATCTATCTACTAAAAATCTAAAGAATTTTCATCTCGCAAATCGATAAAAATTAAATAGACTATTTATAAGTAAATCAATATTAAACAACTTAATTTTACGATACATAAATATAGAAAGAATTATCTATAAATCCCATCTATTTAAAAGTCTATAACGAAGAAGGAATAGGATAACATAGGAGCAGGATATGAAAATTTCAAGTTTTGTAATGGTTTCCGAAATTCGATAAGATAATACATACCACATGATGTATTATATTAATTCCTAAAACGAAATAAGAGTTTTTTCTTTTTTTTTTTTTTTTATAATGTAATTTAATGATATAATCTTCTGCTCCTATGAAAAACCCTGAAACAAACTTAAATACAACATTAAAACAACCTACCTATTTAAAAAGCTAATTTCATATCTCTACATACATGCATTGTAAAGAAGAATAAAATATATATTTTTTATAAACCTGCTTATCGAAAATCTAAAACATTCTTTTCACAATCCTATAAACTAACGATAATTTTTGATACGGCATGAACCACTATAGCTAATAAAAAATCTAAGTAGGAATATACTAGATAACTAGTGAATAAAATCACGTAGCTACCAATTTAGTTGTTTAGAATGAGAAAGTTTAATGAGGATAAGCGTTTCAATAAGAAGAGTAACAAAATATTAAACGTATTTATAAATCCTATCTATCAGAAAACTAAATGTTTCTTTGTACGATATAAAAACTGAAAAATAAGTAAAATCTAACGAGGAAAAAAGAATAAAATGTTGTTTCTCTTCCATTCTGTCGAAGAATTCCTGAAACAGATTATACAATGCGATTAATAAAAAACAGAAAATAATTTTCCTCTTTCCTACCTCTTTTCTTCTATTTATTTTCTTCATACCTGCAACAAACTCAATTACTGGATTAGTCATAAAAAAAATAATTTATATTTAAAAAAAAAAAGAAATTAACAAAATATAATTTGTTAAGTAATTCATAATTTTATCAAAATCATCATAATTTGAAAGACAATTGATCAACAAGAAAGAAATGTATTTTTTTAACAGTATACAAACACTCTCGCATAGGAGGACGCTGAAAAGAAAAAGACAAAAGAAAGATAGCCAGAAGGGCTACCGAAATAATTATCCACTCAATGTAAACCCGAACAAACCGTGAGTGGAATATTTTTTTCCGTTTCGCAACACTATAATACACTAACTAAATTCAACAAACGAAAACACGAAGAGTGCTTTGTTATATTTGCAATGCAATTCTTAAAAAAAAAAAAAAATAAAAAACTCACGGAAACATACACTTGCAATAAGTTTTAACCATTTACGAAACTCTAGTTAAGCTATTTTATGCACTCATATTTTATTATACGCAACACTAATAACGAAAGATTGCAGCCATATCGAAAACTGCTGTCGTACAATCACCCTTGTGCAACTCTTAGTTGCAATAGGTGATTAGGAACAAGAACATGTTTCCACTGTCCAAGTGGAAGAAATATGGGCAATTTGTAAACGGCTATTTTTAAAAAACGCAATTTATAAGTGATTTTAAAGTGAATTGAATACAAAATTTACTATTATATTATAAATGAAAAGATATCCCGATATCATCAATCGCAACACTAAGAATAAATTCAATTTAAATAAAAAAAATACATAAATAAAAGACTAATTCAACTGACCAGAATAATTAAAAGAAATCGCGATATTTCTTATAACGCAACTAATTCAAAATCGCGATGCCCATGATAACTGGATCCGTGGTGAGCCGGCATGCAAATCGGCCAGATACAACATTTACTACTTTTATTACTAAAACGAGCACAGTGACAAAATAGTAACAATGACTTCCCATTCTTTGGAGCCAAAA